CCACAAAAACAGATTCAACTCGAGTTTTTTTTTTCGGTCTTTTTGACACTTCATGGATCTTGCGGTTTATGGTTTAAATTTCGAATATTTCGTACGTCAGTTACATTTCAGTGCTTTTTCCAATTTTACTTAATCGTCGTATACATATTTCCCTTGGAATGATCTTTGTGACTTGAGAAAATTTTTCTCTGAGAACAAATAAATAGTGATTTACGTTGTCTCTAGTCTGTATGAAATTTCTCTGTTGATATGTACAATAGCAAAGTGTACGATAATTTGAGAAACGACATGAACTGGGAGAAACGAATTGAAGGACGACCTCAGTGAAGTATACTATAGTCCAGAAAACTAATTTGTCATTGGAAAGTTGAATGATATACCTGAGTTACATGCTGAAGTAAAATATCGGATGAAGTGTCAAAATGTTTGAATATGTTTGAATTAAAGAAACAAAAAATTAATATTTTTCAATTTTAAAATAGGCAAGTCCCAGGGCTATGCGCCCCAGGGTAACAATGTGTCCAATGCAGGAAAACACCTTGGATATTTGGGAGCCCATGCTCGACGAATCTTTGTGGACAACATCTTGAAACGAGTTACCAATAGTTTAGCTGCTGATTTGCGTAGAAAAGCTGCTAGTCGATTGGTCTTTGGTGGAGATTCGACTCCTTTCTTTGCTTTGGTTGGTGTGTCGCTGGCATCTGGCACTGGAATATTAACAAAAGATGATGAATTGGAAGGTGTTTGTTGGGAAATTCGGGTAAGTAATAGTCTGTTTTTAAGACTACATTATTTATAGTATATTATTTATATTTTAAGACTATTTTTTATTACATTAAGAAAACATAGGAAATTTTGAACATTGATGACAAAATAATTTACAGGAGGCCGTATCAAAATTACAGTGGAACACGCCGCAAAATGACAAAAATTATGAAGTAATCAAAGATGAAGAGGGAATCGTCACTTTGAAGAATTTCGTAATCGGCCCTGCAATCGCGAAAGGATGCTCTGCGGTGGTTTACTCGGCAAAATTCAATGATTCTCCAAGTACCGAAAGCCAGAGTCAAATAAACATCGACGATAAAACGAAAGATATAAGCTCATTTCCGTTGGCGTTAAAGATGATGTTTAATTACGACACTGAATCGAACGCGTTATCCATTCTGAGATCCATGTATCGGGAAACCGTACCAGCCAGAAAACACTTGCAAAACGAAGAATTGGCTGACTGGGAAATGAGAATGGCTGAGAGTAAAACCGAACTCCCGCCGCATCCAAATATTGTAGCGATGTACTATGTTTTTGCTGACAAAGTGCCTGCGTTACCTGGTTCGTGGGGAATGTATCCAGATGCATTACCCGCACGTATCAACCCTCATGGATCCGGAAGAAACATGAGTCTGTTTTTAGTAATGAAAAGGTACCTGATGTTCTAAGAAATAATTTTTCAGTTTTGTTGCATCCTGTAGATAGAATTCGAAAATATTTTTTGGCAAATATCGTTCAAAAATTCAACTGTTTGCTCTTTTTCTAATCGCCAGATATGACACTACGTTGAAACAATATTTGAGCAATCGCAATTTGAGCACTAGGGAATCGATACTACTATTGGCTCAATTACTAGAAGGTGTAACTCACTTGAATGCACATGGCATTGCACACCGGTAAACCAATATCATTTGTTCGATCGAAATATCATCTTATCATATATCAGTCAGATTATATTTCAATTATACTATTGTTTTTAAAAATTTAGGGATCTGAAGAGTGATAATATTCTACTAGATTTGTCAGAAGAAACAGACAATTGTCCATCTTTGGTGATCACGGATTTTGGATGTTGTTTGGCGGACAAACGTCATGGACTGTACCTGCCTTACAACACTCACGATATTGACAAAGGCGGCAACGTAGCACTAATGGCACCAGAAGTAATTACAGTAGAGCCTGGTCCATTTACCAGTATCAATTACACGAAGGCTGATCTTTGGACAATTGGGACCATAGCGTACGAAATATTTGGCATGAAGAATCCGTTCCATAACGATAAGGAAGGAATTTCTCTTAAAAATCATAATTATAAAGAAACGGATATTCAACCTCTACCTAATCACGTACCGACCCTCATTTCTGCGTTAATTAAAAACCTCTTGTCAAGAAATTTGTATAAGGTATTTGTGACAAACTACGCATGTATGTATTTCAAAATAACTTAAAATAATTCAGTATTGTGGGGTAGCTCCAGTCCCAAGGAATAGAAAAAGAAAATTATAAAAGCTAACAAAATATTTTTACAAACAATCAAATAGCTTTTCTGAAAAATTTATTTAAGTTATGTTACTTCTGATATGGATATCCAATATCTTTATCATGTAGAAATTTTCAATGTGAAATTTGAATTTCAGAGACTCGACGCGGAAACTGCAGCAACTATAATACAATTGCACTTATGGGGACCAAGCAATTGGTTTAGGAGCGAGTGGAAATTGCCTTCAACTAATGAGGTACTGTTTTTTTAATTTCTAAATTAATTTTATATAAAATCTTACGTTTTTTATAGGTTATGCAATGGCTTCTGTGCTTAACTACAAAAGTACTTTGTGAAGGACGCGGAAATTCCATGTTACAACTACCAGAAGTATTGGAAAACGAAGACGTCCAGGAAGATAGAAAACGAAATTCGTATAATAGGTCTCTTTCCACAAGATCCTGCGGAAGACGTACTATGCCAGAATATCAATTAATCGCCAGTTTCCTTGGTAGAGTAACGCTTGGCAATATTAGAGCTGCTTTAAAGTGGATGCAGCAGAACGTATAACGTATTTTTTCGCGAAAAAAAGAAGAAGAGGAATAAGAAGAAAGTAATTTATTTCTTGCATATTGAGGAATACAACCATTCTGTGTTATTTATCCGCATGAAGTGAAGATTATTGAAATATTTTTGTATATCCAACTTTATCGTAATAGTAGTTAACGCGTTTCTCAATTATTTTCCTTTATATTAATTTATTTTTGATATTCCGAAGCACAAAAGAATCATCCTTGTGATCGTACAGATTTTTTTCGCTATGGGATGTTATTGGTTGAGAAGCTAGTGATTCTTTTGTGATTCATGTGCCTTGTAATTAATCGATACAAGAAAGTATTGTAAAACATATTTATTTTCGGCACTTTTATTGTATTCATTTTATTTATCAAAACTAACTAAATCGGCGAAATAACTCTACGTGCATAGAGGGCAATCTTTTGTGTCAAAGATGGCTTACTCTGAAAGCTAATTGCGTGATACTACAATTATATTCAGGTTTCGTAAATCAAATATCACGTTGCTTTCCAAGTTTGAAAGCGAAATGAGATGACAAAAGAAATCAAATATCAAGACAAAAAAATTTTTTTTATGAACGATTTTCAATAAGGCAATTTTCATCACAAAATAATAGTCTAGATAAACTTAATTTTACAGATAATGTGGCAAGTTTCAATATTGTAAATTATTGTTAAAGAATAAAGTATTTAGTATTTATAGTAGACATATAATTAAGCAGCTTTTTTGGGCTTCCCGCATATTTGCATCTTGTATTTCATTTCTTCAAAATCTATATTTTTAGATTCTGCCAAATCTTTTAAGTATTGCAAATACTCTTCGAAGGACAGGGCTCTCTTTCGAAATTTAAAAAATGCTAGACCAGTGTCTGTAGTCGTCAATGTAACCATGTCGAGTATACGAGCAGAAATTAACCACTTATCACTTTGCGATAATGGTAATAGGTCAACATTTTGCTCAAAAGAAATTACGTCCATTTCACAATATACTGATCAAAGAACAAATCCATACTTCAATTACAATTTTTCATTATATTTGATGTGAGTATTGATCATGCTACACATTATTATATATTTACCTTTGAACATTTCGTCTAATGGAATAATTTCAGGTTCATTTTTTCTCTTGAGGAAAAAATCGTCCGTCATTTTTTATAAATTACAATGTATTAATGGCTTGCGTGAAGAAATTTTTTTTAAATAAGAATCTGAATGATTTCATTTGAAGTATGAACAGTGCAACTATCATTTTTATTTCGATATAATTTTTGAAAAAATTTTTTTCAGACAATTAGAAGAAATTAGATTCATCATGAAATTTAACAAATATCAGTGTCCATCCTCGTGTACAAATTGCAAAAAGATCAATGTATTTAATGTATTGGAGAATGTGAAACCTCCTTATGTTCATCAAAGCTTGAGCCAGTGTTTTTTTAAGTGCTTTTGCAAAACAATTTGCAGTACAGAAAAGAGACTGGATATGTGTGGACCTATTATATATAAAAAAATTGGGTTAGTAGAAATACAAACTGTTGTCAAGATTTAAATTTCATATTTTCTGTGAATAATTGTAGGAGAAATCTTCAAGACATAGACATTCCAGCTTTATTAGTTTTCTTGAGGAAAAATCAAGATATCACTCATCTTAATTTGGCTAGCAATAATATCACAGATTGTGGATTCATAAGTTTACTTGATCATTTTCTTGTAAGATTGATTATTCTCCAAAGAAAAAGAAATTATTAACAAACATATTATGAATGAAATTTTTAATATCAGTTATATAAAAATATTCAAGAACTGGATATTCAGAATAATAATATCACCAGCAGTGGAGTCGATTACATGCTTAAATTTGCAAAGAATTTAGAGTTAAGAAGTATAAATTTGAAGGCAAATAAATTTGGTGATCAGGTAAAAAGTATCTTTTTTAAATATTTTATTAATCCAATTTATTTATTGAAGATCAATTAAAAGTTCAATTCTTGCAGGCTTCAAAGAATGTAGCATATTTCTTATTGGAGAATAAATATATATGCAGTTTAAATATTGCGGACGTAAACCAGACAGCTTCCAGCTTAATATATTTCATAATGGTTTTAAGTTCGGATCAAGAAGTCTCTAATAGAACTTTAGAAAGCCTAGATATCAGCCGACCAAATCCAGGATGCATGTATTATTTTGATTCTGCTCATTTTGCAGACGTCATTGGCCACATGCTTAGAGTAATTTGATGTTTTTACACTTTTTAAATTTCTTTCTATCAACAATGATTTTTTTGCAGTATAATACTACCCTAAGAGCATTACATTTGCAAAAATACAACTTTAGTTGCCATGATATTGAAAACATGATGTCTAATGCAAAATACAATGACATATTGCATTTATTGGATTTAAGCTGTAATAATATTGGTGATCATGGAATTAGTCATATATCTGCATGGTTAGCAAAAAAACCAGCTTTAAAGACTCTAATTTTATGTAAGAATATCATAACCGATCATGGTGCAAGGTATCTAATGAAAATTCCATAAGAGAATTGCTTTTTCTTTTAAAAATAAGTATTTTTGCAATCTTTAGGAGTTTGAGCAATGTTATTCCTTTTTCAAAACTTTTATCTCTTGATATTTCACATAATAAAATCACTGACGATGGAATGGTGAATATTTTGTATACATTGAAGAAAAGTCCTTTGTTGAGACAGCTAAGGATATTTGGCAATTGCATTGGTAATCAGGCTGCGAAGGTATTTGTAAAAGTGCATAAAAATTAGGGCAATCATAATCACAATCATTTCCTCATTTACAGATAGTTAAAAGAATGTTGATATCTAAAGTGTTAAATCAAGAAAATATAGATGTTAGACCATATAAAATGGATGATTGGTGGTATTTTGCAAAATATGAAGGAGATCGTTGTAGGAAAGAATATCATGATGTTTCCTATCATCTTTTCTTGCAGTCACCAAGGACTCCTCCTCCAACAACTCGTTCTACTCGAAAATATAAATATACATATTTGACCGCAACCGAGCTGAAATTGCAACATGTATGATTTCTTTGTAATTATTTTTTCTGACAGATTCGTCAAAAATTATTCTTTTTTAGTCGACCGTAACTTTGATTTCTACGATAATGGGCAAGGATAATATAAAAGATTGTAGATGTTGTTATTGCATGAAATGCGAGGGTAAACTTGATTGCTATT